AACCACTGTTGTTATTACAGAGATTAAATTACACTAAGATATTAACGTACTTCTTGGTGGGTAATTTACATAAAGAAAAAGGCTCCTAAAATTTTAGTTTGCTGAATATCCTTCTTAATGGGAACAATTCAAAAATACTCTAGATTTAAGAAGCAATCTGTGAAGCTGTCCTTTAATCATTGCTCCTGCTCTAAATACCCACTTAAAAATTAGCCACTAATTCCTTATTTTCGCTCTTATGCTCACAAACAAAAATTTTTGGTTACAACATCAAAACCAATCTCTTCTGCATTATCAGGTTTGTAGTGCAGGATAAACTGATCTAAATGAAGTGATCCATTATTTTAATTAACAAGCAAGAAACTTTGATTTGAATGTCATTTTTTAACTCGTTTTACATCTCTTTATAATTTGACAAAGAAATTTTAGCATTGTTTGTTGGAAACTTTGTAAAGCAAATTTCCAACAAAATACAGTCTTTATGCTAAATTTGCAGGTTTTTTCTCTCCTAATAAAATTGTATCTATGCACATTCATGTATACACATATTGCTTAGCACATATGTATTCACGTTCTGATTTTTCTTTGCTGATACTTAATAGGGGAAAAATTGTGAATCAAAACCTCTAAGTAAGATGCATAGAGGAAATTAAGTATGTCTTATATTGCTTCTTCAAACACCCAACCATCTCACACGTGATTATTTCATATATAAATTTAAAAAACACTGGTTTTTCTCTCAAAGTCCTGCTTGGATTCTGCTCTTTGTGCTTGTCACATGTGAACATGTGAACAAAGCTGAGAGCGCCTGCAAAATTCATTGGGCTGGGAAATGTTATTATGTGGGTTCAAGTGACTTGAAAACGTAAGTAAAGGAATTGGCCAGACCTGGGTTTGGCTTCAGCTGTTCAGCAAAGGGAGGTCTTAGAAGCTGAGCGTGGTCAAGGTTGTGCTCCTGCTGGCAGCAGGGAACAGCACACACAGTGAGGTGCTCCTCTTCCTGAACTCCATGCTGAAATTCGGCCCGAAGCGGAAGCCACCATTACCGCAGTGTGTGGGCCTTGCCCTGCTTGGGAACCAGAGGGTGGTGGTCAAAGCTCAGCAGGTCTCTGGGAGGAAATCCCTGCTGGGCCCTTCCCTGCTGACACATGTTGCTCTGATCTCTGCTACTGAGACAGGCATTCTCTGGTGGATTTACTGTGGGATTTGCGTGAGGAACCTGAAGTGCCATTTCCAGTTTATTAGGAATAGTATCAGTTTTATTTTGGTTCATTTTATTTTAATCGTGAAACTATTTTTATCTCAACCCATGAGGTTTATTTTTCCCCCTTTTCCTTCCTATTCTCTCCTCCATCCCCCTGGAGTGTGAGGAGGTAGTGTGTGACCAAGTGGCTGCATGGTGCTTGATTGCTGACTGGGGTTAAACCAGAACAGCAGGAGAGGACAAGGCCTCCTCTCCTCTCCTCCTAGCTTTCATAAATGGCCCAGGATGTCCTTACCTGTCAAAGATTTCTCCTTTTGCTGTAGCCAGAAATGGTTATGAAAAGCTAACTCTTTGCTGCAGGCCCTTCAGTGTGATGCTGGTGCTGCCTCTCCCCTGCATCTACCTCATCTGGTGAAGTAAGATTTTGCGGAGCAGAGCTACAGTGGATTCATCAGCTGCTTTCAACAGCAATGCCAGTATCATGTCTCGAGAGCATGGTCCTCTGTCTGAAAGGCAATCTCCACCCACTCCAGACCCATACAGCCAGGGCAATTTCTGGATCATAACCTAGAGGCTTAGTGAGTGGAGTGCCACTGACGGGTCCTGTTGATGGCGCCCACTCATGTTACTGTAACACCGTGCTGCATCGACCTGGGCTGTTGGGCTATCAGGGCCTTGATAAACTCTCTGCTAGCAAAGAGTCACCCTCGATGATGGGGACTAGTCAGTGTGTCCTGCCAGGTAACGCTGGCCAGCATGGCAGGGGCTGAACACAGCACACAGGAGGTGCACGTGGCCAGCAGAGTGGTGTTGCACACCCCAGTATTGACCCACTGTTACCAGGATCTTCACATAGGGAGATGGTCTCCTGAAGCTCCTTTCTGTCATTCTCCACCCTCACACCCCATGGCCAGTTTTGGCTGTACTGGGCAAAGGGGTGCAGCCCCAGGCAGCCAGGAGGGTGGACACAGTGCCCCATGGAGAGAAGGGCTCCACGCCAATGCACGGGACTGAGCCAAGTGTGCTGTTGGTACAGCCATAACCCAGAGCCAGCTACAGCAAAGGGCTGCCCAGAACCACGGGGACATGGAAAGCTATTGGTAAAGACAAAATTTTTTTTAAAAAAGCATGTTTCTGAGCTTGGTTGCTCCTGGAAGAGGTACTTGTCTTCTTAATGGGTCAGCTGCAACGTCAGAAAGTTGCTTCTTTTAAAGTTACGGTTAGTGTAAGGGGAATATTCTTGTCAGTGATTCAGTTGCACTTGGTTGAAGACACCATCTGCTCTGACACAGGGCCAGCTTAGCATTTAAAATGACATTTAGACCGGAAAGCAATTGAGCCTGGATACTGCCACAGATGTCATCAGTAAAGGTGAACTTACCAGAGCTCATGAATGAGGTTGTTGATAAAAGCACTCAATCCCAGAAGTGTTTACAGAGCGCGCTGTGGAAGACCACTGATTCTTCTGCATATGCTTTATTTCCTACACATGCCTTATGCCATCTACCTTTGAGAAGCAATGTTACGAGAGGCATCAGTGAAATTCTGCATTTAAAACCCAGCATTTGTGGTTCCTGCTAAAGCAGAATGACCAAGTTTCTGTCCTTTCTATATTGATGATATTTTCCAAACCAAGCTACTGAGTCCTAGGCTTGCTTCAGCCCAGTGGGGCAGGAGGACGAGCCCATTTTCCTGCCTTTCTGTGGAAAACTGCTCGCTCCCTCAATGTTTCTGTTCCAGCTGACAACAACAGCACAAACCAGCTCTGGGGTCTCTTTCTTCAGTGCAGAGGATGTAGGAAGAGTTACTGCATCCATCCCTGTCTGTCCCCTAAATACAGAGGCTCATTCCCAACCGTACCTCCTGACATGCACTTAGGCTGTGATTCAAAAAATCCACAGGACAAAGAAGGAAGGGGAATGAAGTAGGTAGAAAACACATTTAAAAGAAGGAAGGACTAATAGACTTAATTGCTCTACTCAGGTTTGTGCCCACAGGGCATGCGTGGATGAGTTTTACTAATGAAGTTCATCAGCAGCATTGGGGCAAATTTGGTTCTTAAGGTCAAATAATCTATCAAGATGGAAATGTTGAAAGAGTCCTTTCCACGTAAGCTGCTCAGGATGGCTCAAATTGCTTTTCAGCTGCTCTTGGTGCTTTTGTTGACTTCAAGTAAATGAAACATTATCCTTTTTTAATTAGGTAGGAGATCTCAGTAAGTGTCACTTCCTACTAATTTAAAGACTAGCACTAGTTTAAAGCAATTAAAGCTAAAAACCTGAACCTTTAGATAATTAATTAATACAGAATTTGATTTAATAAGGAAGAAACTGAGGTTAAGTGACCCAGTCAGGTGCGGATGAGAAGGAAAAGAAGCCAGCGTAGAGCCAGCAGTGCAGCCCCTGGGGTGGCTATTAGGGAGCATAGTAGTTTTCTCTCTTCTTGGCAGGCAATTGTAAGCATGTAATATGTTCAAAACCCTTCCTAGCTGTCTCTAACAATGATTTTTATGTCTATATTGGGTGTAGTTATCAAGGTGTTGAAGCAGGTTTATCCCAAAGGACTGCAGCCATGGAGATGATCCACACTGGAGTGAGGGGAATGCACGAGAAAGGAGCAGCAGAGAGGAGCTGTTATAGACTGACCGCAATCCCCATTCCCCAGTGCTGCTGCAGAGGGGAAGCAGAGGAGTAAGGAATGAAAGTGAGAAGTTGAGCCTGGGAAGGTGGTGGTTTACATTTTTGTTCCCTTTCTTTCTCACTACACAAATCTCAATTGGCAATAAAGTCAACTCTCTTTTGCCCATGATGGCAAATGGCAAGCAGTTTCCCTATCCTTATCTCAACCCATGAGCTTCCTATTTTCTCTCCCACCCAGCTGAGGTGGTAGAGTGAGTGAGGGGCTGGGTGGGCACCCCACCACTGTCAGTTATCTACAGACTGGGTCCTCAGATAGAGGAGGCCACGCAGGCAGGGCAGCTCTGCTAAAAAACACAAGTAGGCTGGAATAAGAATCAACCAACTGCAAGATATGGGTAAAAGCCACAGCCTAAACCAACTCTCTTTCACATGGTATCTTGCAAACTTCGTATTTTTGAGAACAGGTTCTGGTACATTTTACTACTTCACCTCCCAAATAGGTGTGCATTCTCAAACTGCCAAAGACCTTTAAAGTCTTGTCTCAACAGGGCAAACAGCCCATCCCAAATCCTTGTGAGAACACCTCCTGAGGAAGCTCAGTAATACAAAAGCAACAAAAGACTCGTGACAGGGGACCCTCTGCTTGTGGCTGAGTTTCCTTCAGGGGTGAGATGTCATCTGATTACTGTAGCATTAAAAGTTTTATATTATGTACCATACCATATCGTAATACAGCAATGCATGCATACCCATGCACAAAGAATTTATGAATAAAAACTGTAATCTTTGATTGTCCTTATTCCAACTTGTCTTATAAACATTTAAAGAGATGGCTTCTTAAAATAGTACACGAAGAGTATATTATTTGTCATACAGAGACTATAATGGGATAATGTTAAAGATGAGAATCCTGTATTTCAAATCTATACTTGTATTCATTTGAATGGTACAAAAGTGAAAAGTGACTGTCACAGGAATGGTTATCATGCTAAAAATAGTCTGAGAGCTGCTTATGTGGAGATAAAAGCCACTGACGATGACAAAAAGCCCAGTATCATGATGAGATAAAGACTTGTTGTGCATTCTGTCCTCTACCTCTTCCCAGTGTTTTCTCACTTGTTTTCCCTTCAGTTTAATAAACTAAACTACAGCTGTTGTAGGAGGCTTTTATTTGGAACAAAACCAGTGAAAATACAATTTTCACTGAAAGCCAAAGCTGAGGCAAGTCACATTTTCTGTTGCTGTTACTTGCTAGCCGTCGTAGGTGGGATCCACTCCTCTATCTTCTTGCGAGTAGTAGAGTAAGGTACGTACTGTCCCGGAGTGCCACTCAGGTTGAACTTGTGGTTCTCCCAGATAAATTTACGATCAACAGGTGGATGAGTTGTTGGAGGGTCGTCTGTCATTGAGTGAAGCCAGCGATGCCTTAAGAGGAAAGAGAGTTATTAATGGACTTTACATGATCTGTAACAAGCCTTCCTCCTGACGCCCAAGGGCTCTCCTCTGAAGAGACACAAAGTATTTATTTTGAGGGGTGGGAGGAAATAATTCCAATCAGTCAGACTTTGAAGGAGACTGCAGGATACTGATTTAAAGTAATTACACAAACAAAACTGATAAACAACCATTCTGCTTCCAAGCAACTGAAAGCACACCTGAATTTGAATTTCCTGTTCCTCTGTACGCTTAGTGTTTGGGCAGAGGATTTTATTGCTATGTTAATTGTATGGCCTTAATGAGCCAACCAGGTCAAGGCAGGTACTACAAATGACAAAACCACAAGGTTTTGTTTTGTTGTCTGAGGATTTTTTTGTTGGGTTTTGGGTTTTTTTAGTGTTTAATCACCGGAAGACAACGCTGTACAACAATTTCAATACCATCTCTAAAGCATTCATGAGGCTACCACTCAGGATACGGATTAATGATGCAGGTTCACCTAAAACAATCACATCAATGTCTACAGACTGCACAATAAAATAATTAATACCAATTAGTAATGGGGTAATTACCGAGAAGATTAGAGTGATTATCCTTTACCTATAAACTAAATGTCAATCCACCCCTGTGCAAACAACATTAACGATCGAAGTATTTTCCATAACAATTTACTGAAACACTGCAGCAAGGATACAATGAATTGATTTCATCCCATTTCTATTTCAGTGCCCAAAGCAACTTTCAAGCCTGAATAACATTTTAGTCATCTGCCAGTTTACATGTACTTCATACTGCATGCACAGTTATGACAGAAGTGAGGTTATGACTTTTTTTGCAAGCTTATGTATTTTTTACCAAGGCAGAATTAAAGACGCTTCTGTTAATCAGCTTTTGCCAAAGACATGACCTAAAAATAAGAAGTCATCTATCCCAGTTTTTATTAGAAAGCCTAAAAATTCCATCTTCAGCCTTTAGCAACAAACCTGGCGCACTTCATTCACACAGCAAACCAAAACCACAACAAAAATAGTGAGAAATAGGCTGGCAAGTATATTCTAAATCTGAAGACTGCTACAGAAGGTTGATTATCCTTTCAGTCAAATAGCTTCTAGACGTTTATTTCAGAAAAACTCACAACTTTGGATATAACTTTAGCACATCTCATTTAAAAAAAAGTCAGCCACGTGTTCATTTTCTGTAAGTAAAAGCCAAACAAAACCCCCAGAGAAAAGCCACATGTTGTAGGACTAAGGACTGCCAGGAAACTCACTTGAATACCACACTGGATGGAACCATAAGATCCTTTAAAGTAAGAAGAAAAACCTTGTTCAGAAGTAAAGAATGGCCTCCTGTGGGAAAAAATCATCCACTGTGAGACTGAAAGTTATACACATGTTCAGATGCAGTGACACAACGCAACATGGATGGGAGGGTGATCTCTCTCTTCCTCCCTCCACTCTCTTTTGTAAATCTGGTATCATTTGAAGTACACATTTCCCACTACTTCTATATAAAAAAAAAAAAGATCACTGGGTCATGATTTCTGTCTGGAAGAAGGCAGCCCTGTAGAATTGTTAATCACACTGTGGTCTGAGGACATAGGATCAGGCCTTGCTTGATTTTAAACCTGGTATTAGCAGCCTCTGAAATAACCTGGCCACTCTCCAAAAAGCTCTGACCTTAAGTGAACTCCCTCTCCCAATTCACATCTGTGAGAACTCTGTGTACCAGTGGGCTTCACACTACCTGAGATTCCATGTGTCCTACCATCAAATTTGGCATAAACACTATAAAGCAGCTACCATGACAGAGGTGGGATCATATGCTCATACCCAACAAGCTGGTTCTCCATTGCTAACACAAAAAAACATAGTTTGTGGCATGGGAAGGCGGGGAAAAGAACGGTACCTGTGTCCATATGCATCCTGCCAATACTGACTCAAGTACTGCATTTCAAAATGAGGAGCCTCAGTTTGTCAATCCCACTTACCCTAACACACAGAGGCAACTTAAACACACACACCTTTACCTGGTGATGCTGCTGGTAACAGTGGACAGGGATCCTGGAGAAAAACAACACCCCCCCCCCCTCCAAAAAAAATCCTATTTATGTACCTGTCACCATGCCTCACCATCTTCCTGCTCCCCTAGAGTCGTGCACATCAACAGGACAAACAAAAAATTGTTTTCTCAGACAGACTCTGCCCTGGTGAGACCACATCTGGAATATTGTGTTCACTTCTGGGCCCCTCAGTTCAAGGAGGACAGGGAATTGCTTGAAAGAGTCCAGCACAGAGCCACAAAGATGATCGAGGGAGTGGAGCATCTCCCTTATGAGGAGCGGCTGAGGGAGCTGGGTCTCTTTAGCCTGGAGAAGAGGAGACTGAGGGGTGACCTCAATAATGTTTATAAATTTGTAAAGGGCGAGTGTCAGGAGGAAGGAGCCAGGCTCTTCTCAGTGACAGCCAATGACAGGACAAGGGGCAATGGGAGCAAGCTGGAGCATAGGAGGTTCAATCTGAACATGAGGAAAAACTTTTTTACTGTGAGGGTTACAGAGCACTGGCACAGGCTGCCCAGAGAGGTTGTGGAGCCTCCTCTGGAGACATTCAAAACCCTCCTGGACGTGTTCCTGTGTGACCTCATCTAGGTGATCCTGCTCTGGCAGGGGGGTTGGACTGGATGATCTTTCGAGGTCCCTTCCAACTCCTAACATTCTGTGATTCTGTGAAATGCAGTTACAAAGGCCCTGAAGGACAGGCAGGAGCAGGTGGAGCACAAGAGCTGTATTAAAGCTCAGTTAAAATAAACTAGAATTCAAGCTCATCTTGCCAAGTCTAGTACCTCTTTCATTACAAGAGTACCTACATCTTATGCTTACTCCTTGAAACATCAGAAAAATTACCACAATATTGACTTATTTACTCATTTAACTCAGAAGACAGAACAGCTTTACTCCACCATTTAAACTATCATTTTGCAGCTTTTCTAAGTCTAAATCTAGAAAGTCTTCTAAAACACAATGTTTTGGAGCAATAAATACATTTGCTTTCAGGATTTTCTTAAGTTCTATAACATCAATATGGAATCCAGCTCAAATTTAAATCTATCAGCAAAACCAATCCTTAAAACCCATTTTCTCACTGGAAAGTAGAAATAAAATTGCTCACCTATGAGACGTGTCAATACAGCCACAGATACTGAAACTTCTGAGAAGATTTCAAAAATATATTTAGAACTCCATCCACTACTAATTACCCTTATATATGTGAGTTTCAGGGCTTAAGCCTGGTCACAGCAGATTGCCCTTAGAAGCCCAACAGGTGACTTACAAAAGCATTTCAGTTTGCAAAGTCTGCTCTCTCAGACAGAAGTTCCCACTCTCCACTTAAGCAAAGATATGTAAAATCTGAAAACTTTATTTTGGGAAGACTTCCCCCTTGACAACCTCCCTCAAAGAGTCCTTTGAAGCCCTGATGCCTCAGATTCTACTCCCAGCTGCTCAAGAAAAGCTTTTCATGCACTAGATTGAACAGCATGAATAAAGAGATTTGACGCCTTGCAGATGGCCAGATTTCTATACAAACTCTGCCTATAAATCCATGCATGGAAAAACAGGATTCAAAAGCAATTAATGACTTAAAACCTACAAAGAAGCAGACAGTTTACACAGAGCACAGAAAATCAGGAGGAAAGCAGAAGCTCTGAAGAGGCTGAAGCAGCTTCCTGAATTGCAGAGCACAGTCACTACCAAGCAGATTGAGGTCAGGACTTTTCCTTGGGTAAAGAAATGAAAGACACCTCAAAGCATCTCCAAATGCTCTCAAGACTACACCGAATTTTCTACCAAATCCTAGACAAATATTTAAAAGCAAGGAGATTTCCAACTGAAGCTACAAGGGACCAGAGCCAATTATATGATGTGCAAGCTGTCAAACAAGAGGCGATGCTACACAAACTCGGCGGCTACTGCCATATGTGCATCTGCAAGGTTCAGGCACCGTCTACTTAAGTTTGGGATGTTTGCCAACTTGTTAGCATCCACTTTTTTCCAACAAGTTAACCATGTTGCAGTAAGACAAAAGAGAAGTGAAGATGTGTGCTATGGTCAAAGGGCAGGGGAGAACAGGAGGAGAAGGAAAAAGGGACAAGAAACATGTTTTTATCTGTTTATACGTGGGAGATCACTTTGATTTCTCAGGCGAGCTACTCTAAGATACCATTGTACAGTAATGAGACAGCATCCTATTTACCTGAAAACACCCCACTAGCATTTAATTTACTTATAAACCCCACACATTTATTGTGAAGCTACTGAAAGGATGGAAATTTTACGCACCCTCCCTTTTCTGTTCAATCTTTTTGTTTTGCTTTCCTTGGAGGTAGACTGGAAAAGCCGCAGTTTTACAGGAGAACAGCACATTTCTTTAAATTTCTTAGTATGCTGTCACTTTAAGTCTGAGATGCTACATTCCTCCCTCCTTCAGCTGTCAGATCAACTGACAAAGAGGATATAGATTATTAAACAGAAGTTAAAGTTGAAATATTTCACTGTATGAAGTCAGCATGCCTAAAGCTCCTTCCAAAGATGTCAGATTTGCACTGTAAGGAGACAAACATCAAAGCAGAGGACAGACATTACACAAACATAGGACAGTGATGGCAAAACAAAGTGTCCCTGTGAAAGGAGGAAACTACTCTCAAATTACAGTTCTTCTTTCCCCACAGGACATAACATACTGAAAAAGCAATTTATTTTTAACTAGTTTGTCTACATAAGCCAGTTGTCAATTTGCTTTTGCAAAGCATTTGGCCAAAACACAAATCAAATTACACTAAACCAGATAAATGGTAAACAGTGTGCACAAAGCCAGGAAAGGCTTTGTAGGTGATGCAGGAGAAGCACACTTAGCACCTAGGCCTTGACTCGCATGGACCTTATATACTCTCCAAAGAAAGCCTTGCTCCACAGCATAACCCTGCTGAAT